TTAGAGGAACATGTTAGAGGAACATGTTAGAGTTAGAGGAACATGTTAGTGTTAGAGGAACATGTTAGTGTTAGAGGAACATGTTAGTGTTAGAGGAACATGTTTAGTGTTAAGAACATGTTGAGTTAGAGGAACATGTTAGAGGAACATGTTAGAGGAACATGTTAGAGTTAGAGGAACATGTTAGAGTTAGAGGAACATGTTAGAGGAACATGTTAGTGTTAGAGGAACATGTTAGAGGAACATGTTAGAGTTAGAGGAACATGTTAGAGGAACATGTTAGTGTTAGAGGAACATGTTAGAGTTAGAGGAACATGTTAGAGTTAGAGGAACAATGTTAGAGTTAGAGGAACATGTTAGAGGAACATGTTAGAGGAACATGTTAGAGTTAGAGGAACATGTTAGAGTTAGAGGAACATGTTAGAGTTAGAGGAACATGTTAGAGTTAGAGGAACATGTTAGAGGAACATGTTAGAGGAACATGTTAGAGTTAGAGGAACATGTTAGAGTTAGAGGAACATGTTAGAGTTAGGAACATGTTAGAGGAACATGTAGAGGAACATTTAGAGTTAGAGGAACATGTTAGAGTTAGAGGAAATGTTAGAGGAACATGTTAGAGGAACATGTTAGAGGAACATGTTAGAGTTAGAGGAACATGTTAGAGTTAGAGGAACATGTTAGAGTTAGAGGAACATGTTAGAGGAACATGTTAGAGGAACATGTTAGAGTTAGAGGAACATGTTAGAGTTAGAGGAACATGTTAGAGTTAGAGGAACATGTTAGAGTTAGAGGAACATGTTAGAGGAACATGTTAGAGTTAGAGGAACATGTTAGAGGAACATGTTAGTGTTAGAGGAACATGTTAGAGGAACATGTTAGTGTTAGAGGAACATGTTAGAGTTAGAGGAACATGTTAGAGGAACATGTTAGAGTTAGAGGAACATGTTAGAGGAACATGTTAGTGTTAGAGGAACATGTTAGAGGAACATGTTAGAGGAACATGTTAGTGTTAGAGGAACATGTTAGAGTTAGAGGAACATGTTAGAGGAACATGTTAGTGTTAGAGGAACATGTTAGAGTTAGAGGAACATGTTAGTGTTAGAGGAACATGTTAGAGTTAGAGGAACATGTTAGAGGAACATGTTAGAGTTAGAGGAACATGTTAGTGTTAGAGGAACATGTTAGTGTTAGAGGAACATGTTAGAGGAACATGTTAGTGTTAGAGGAACATGTTAGTGTTAGAGGAACATGTTAGAGGAACATGTTAGAGTTAGAGGAACATGTTAGAGGAACATGTTAGAGGAACATGTTAGAGGAACATGTTAGTGTTAGAGGAACATGTTAGAGGAACATGTTAGAGGAACATGTTAGTGTTAGAGGAACATGTTAGAGGAACATGTTAGAGGAACATGTTAGAGTTCGAGGAACATGTTAGAGGAACATGTTAGTGTTAGAGGAACATGTTAGAGGAACATGTTAGAGGAACATGTTAGAGGAACATGTTAGTGTTAGAGGAACATGTTAGTGTTAGAGGAACATGTTAGAGGAACATGTTAGAGGAACATGTTAGTGTTAGAGGAACATGTTAGAGGAACATGTTAGAGGAACATGTTAGAGTTAGAGGAACATGTTAGAGGAACATGTTAGAGGAACATGTTAGTGTTAGAGGAACATGTTAGTGTTAGAGGAACATGTTAGTGTTAGAGGAACATGTTAGAGGAACATGTTAGAGGAACATGTTAGAGTTAGAGGAACATGTTAGAGGAACATGTTAGAGGAACATGTTAGAGTTAGAGGAACATGTTAGAGGAACATGTTAGAGGAACATGTTAGTGTTAGAGGAACATGTTAGTGTTAGAGGAACATGTTAGTGTTAGAGGAACATGTTAGAGGAACATGTTAGAGTTAGAGGAACATGTTAGTGTTAGAGGAACATGTTAGTGTTAGAGGAACATGTTAGAGGAACATGTTAGTGCTAGAGGAACATGTTAGCGTTAGAGGAACATGTTAGAGGAACATGTTAGTGTTAGAGGAACATGTTAGAGTTAGAGGAACATGTTAGAGGAACATGTTAGAGTTAGAGGAACATGTTAGAGTTAGAGGAACATGTTAGAGGAACATGTTAGAGGAACATGTTAGTGTTAGAGGAACATGTTAGAGGAACATGTTAGTGTTAGAGGAACATGTTAGAGGAACATGTTAGAGGAACATGTTAGTGTTAGAGGAACATGTTAGTGTTAGAGGAACATGTTAGTGTTAGAGGAACATGTTAGTGTTAGAGGAACATGTTAGAGGAACATGTTAGAGGAACATGTTAGAGGAACATGGAGAAGAGGATTTTGAAAACCTGAATAAATAAATCTGCCGTCTCTGTGCGTCTCTTTCTCTCTCAGAGTCCGTCATCCCGAGTTCAGGAACGTTTCATGTGAAGCTCCCAAAGAAGCCGGGAGTGGAGCTGGGGATCACCATCAGCTGTGAGTAAACACACACACACACACACACACACACACACACACACACACACACACACAGTCACACACAGTCACACACACACACACACACACACACACACACACACACACACAGTCACACACACACACACACACACACAGACACACACAGTCACACACACACACACACACAGTCACACACACACACACACAGTCACACACACACACACACACACACACACACACAGTCACACACACACACACACACACACACACACACACACACACACACACACACAGTCACACCACCCCTGACGTCATCTCTGAGATCAGGAAAAAAAAAAAACCCCACCCCCCCCACCCAGTGAAGACCACTACCTTCCCGGTGTGACGGTCTGAGTGAAGGACACGCCCTGCTTTGGTCTCGGTCTCGGTCTGGTCTCTGGTCTCTGGTCTCTGGTCTCTGGTCTCTGAGCTCTCTGGTCTCTGGTCTCTGGTCTCTGGTCTCTGGTCTCTGGTCTCTGAGCTCTCTGGTCTCTGGTCTCTGGTCTCTGGTCTCTGGTCTCTCTGGTCTCTGAGCTCTCTGGTCTCTGGTCTCTGGTCTCTGAGCTCTCTGGTCTCTGGTCTCTGGTCTCTGGTCTCTCTGGTCTCTGAGCTCTCTGGTCTCTGGTCTCTGGTCTCTGGTCTCTGGTCTCTGGTCTCTGGTCTCTGGTCTCTGAGCTCTCTGGTCTCTGGTCTCTGGTCTCTGGTCTCTCTGGTCTCTGAGCTCTCTGGTCTCTGGTCTCTGGTCTCTCTGGTCCCTGGTCCCTGGTCTCTGAGCTCTGGTCTCTGGTCTCTCTGGTCCCTGGTCTCTGCTCTCTGGTCTCTGGTCTCTGAGCTCTGGTCTCTGGTCTCTGGTCTCTGATCTCTGGTCTCTCTGGTCTCTGAGCTCTCTGGTCCCTGGTCTCTGGTCTCTGGTCTCTGGTCTCTGGTCTCTGGTCTCTGGTCTCTGGTCTCTGGTCTCTCTGGTCTCTCTGGTCTCTGAGCTCTGGTCTCTGGTCTCTGATCTCTGGTCTCTCTGGTCTCTGGTCTCTGGTCTCTGGTCTCTCTGGTCTCTGAGCTCTCTGGTCTCTGGTCTCTGGTCTCTCTGGTCCCTGGTCCCTGGTCTCTGGTCTCTGGTCTCTGGTCTCTCTGGTCTCTGGTCTCTGGTCTCTGGTCTCTGGTCTCTGGTCTCTGGTCTCTGGTCTCTCTGGTCTCTCTGGTCTCTGAGCTCTGGTCTCTCTGATCTCTGGTCTCTGGTCTCTCTGGTGTCTGGTCTCTGGTCTCTGGTCTCTGGTCTCTGGTCTCTCTGGTCCCTGGTCTCTGGTCTCTGGTCTCTGGTCTCTGGTCTCTGGTCTCTGAGCTCTCTGATCTCTGGTCTCTGGTCTCTGGTCTCTGGTCTCTCTGGTCTCTGAGCTCTCTGATCTCTGGTCTCTGGTCTCTGGTCTCTGGTCTCTCTGGTCTCTGAGCTCTCTGATCTCTGGTCTCTGGTCTCTGGTCTCTGGTCTCTGGTCTCTCTGGTCCCTGGTCTCTGGTCTCTGGTCTCTGGTCTCTCTGGTCCCTGGTCTCTGGTCTCTGGTCTCTGGTCTCTGGTCTCTGGTCTCTCTGGTCCCTGGTCTCTGGTCTCTGGTCTCTGGTCTCTCTGGTCCCTGGTCTCTGGTCTCTGGTCTCTGGTCTCTCTGGTCCCTGGTCTCTGGTCTCTGGTCTCTGGTCTCTGGTCTCTGGTCTCTCTGGTCCCTGGTCTCTGGTCTCTGGTCTCTGGTCTCTCTGGTCTCTGGTCTCTCTGGTCCCTGGTCTCTGGTCTCTGGTCTCTGGTCTCTCTGGTCCCTGGTCCCTGGTCTCTGGTCTCTGGTCTCTGGTCTCTGGTCTCTCTGGTCCCTGGTCTCTGGTCTCTGGTCTCTGGTCTCTGGTCTCTCTGGTCTCTGAGCTCTCTGATCTCTGGTCTCTGGTCTCTGGTCTCTGGTCTCTCTGGTGTCTGGTCTCTGAGCTCTCTGGTCTCTGGAGGTCTTGGTCTCGGTTTCTGTGGTCTTGACCCCCTCCATGTTTGTGTGCTTCACGTTCAGGTTTCTTCTTCTGGTGTTTTTTATTTAAAGAGCGTCATCACTTTCATGTCAGAGAAACTGAATCCTGAAAGTGTCTTCAGATGAAAACGTTTCTGTAACAGACTTTGAGTTTTGGACACGCTCGAGCGCCCGGCGAGCGCCCGGCGAGCGCCCGGCGAGCGCCCGGCGAGCGCCCGGCGAGCGCCCGGCGAGCGCCCGGCGAGCGCCCGGCGAGCGCCCGGCGAGCGCCCGGCGAGCGCCCGGCGAGCGCCCGGCGAGCGCCCGGCGAGCGCCCGGCGAGCGCCCGGCGAGCGTCCGGCGAGCGTCCTGGTTCCTGTTTGGGAGGTTTTGGTCTATTTATAGCGACGTTAGCGGCGAGGCTAAAAATAGACGGCAGCGGTTAGCCGTCTTCAGAGTCTCTGAGATCTCTTTAGTTTAAACGTTTTCAACTCTTTCGTTTATGACCACGAGCAGATCAGACGAGTCTCCC